GTGGTGTAAACAAAGTCTAGAATGTTGTTTCCCCGTGTTGGAAAGCGAACCCTATAAGAACTACGCCGCAACTGGGAACCCGTAAACTTACGGACGTTGCACCACATCCCGTCTGAACTAAGCACAAGATAGCTGCTTCGAGCTCGTGACTTGTTACGGTCGCTATACAAATACACAAGGTCGACAGGGCAAATATCAAGGCTAGGTGCACCCCGACTCAGTGGAGCTTTAGCTTTAACACTGTGGGGGTGGTTAGCCAGGCATTGTGCATGCTGAAACGCAATCAGTTCCCGGTCATGCACCGGTAACTGTTCGAGAGAGAACTGATCACGCTGCAGCAGCATCTCACGGGCTGACATGCCACGTGACCGAATACGGCTATTTAACCGAGCAACAGCTACAGACAATAGTAAGGGGGTGACGACCCCACAGTGTGGTTCTAGTCGCAAAATCTCGCCCTGTAGCTCCTGGATGGCCTTTTCGGCCACCGGATTTTTGTTGATATTTTTAGCATCGCCAACCTCAATGGCCAGCCTGTGTTGAGCAAACACTGTGTCCTTGGCCAGTGCTGAAAAACCTGGTGCTGGGTCAGTTCTAACTATAGCAAAGGGGCCATCAAGCGGACGAAGGCCAATACACAAGCGTAAAATACCATCCCGCAACGTTTCCTTCCGCTCGTCATCAATTAACAATGCAGATGTAAAGGTTGTCACACGCTCACGAACGACTAAGATGAGCTGGCGCTCACGTTTAAGCACGTCAGCTGCAAAAGTAGACCCAACCCTCTCAGGTGGATCACAGCTGGACTGCTCCACTGCGAACACAGGAGACTTAGTCAGTGCAGCACATTGGTGACATCCCTTACTGGTAAGCTGGATGGCTGAATCCAAGTCCAGCGCGTAGAAGTACCGGCCAACGACAAGTCTCAACTGGTGAGCCGAGGGGTGGTCTAACCTAATGTGCAATGACATAAGCAACCCATGCAGTACTGAGCTTGGAACAACGATGCATTCGGTAGTGTTTGACAGTGGTGTGTCACGCCGCACAACTAACAGCCCATCCCTTGCTAAGGTAACAGTATTTAAATACCGTTTCACATCTTTGACATTGGTAACTCTCTTGGAAGGGCGTGTACCCTGCCGAAGATGTGCGCGTACCCTGCGGAGGTCTGGACACTCAGCCTGAATAGACACCCATGTGGCCCTATTGGCAAAGGGCACCTTTTGAGCTCCCCGCAAGATGTCGGCAACATCAGTACGGCACACTACGGAGACAATGGATTCACGGACGAAGCTATACACCTGACATGCCGGACTGTCACATTGTGCAGCATGGCGACTAGCATAATCTGAAGGGAGAATAGCAGCCCCAGCAACATGACGAACAGAGACCTGAAAGCGGCTTGCAGTAGACAAGAAAGTAGTAACACGTGGGCTCGCAGAAAGCTTCTCAAAGGCCTGTACGCGTGGTTTACTGTCAGTGAGCACACACACCTTCTGTGATGACTGAATAATATATGGAACAAAATGCTTCAGGGCAGCGGCTATAGCTAGGGCCTCAATCTCAGACGGAAGCCAATTGATCTGATTTTTGAGAAGCTTAGCGCTAAAGTGTCCGGCGATCAACAACTTAGCCAATTGATCTGATTTTTGCGAAGCTTAGCGCTAAAGTTTCCAGCGATCAACAACTTTTCCCCCCTCGTAACATACATTGTCGCGCCTAGCCCTGGATCCCTAAGAGCACCATCGGTGACAATCCAAAGTTGGTCATCAGGTCGTGGTATTGTCACAGTGCAACTAGTGGATAATGCCTGCTGAGTCCAATGAAAACACCGGAGGAGCTAATCTGACCACACAACTGCAGCGGTCGACTCACCACCTATTGGCAAAGGGCAACTTCTGAGCTCCCCGCAAGATGTCGGCAACATCAGTACGGCACACGACAGAGACCATGGATTCACGGACGAAGCTACACACCTGACATGCCGGACTGTCACATTGTGCAGCATGGCGGCTAGCATAATCTGAAGGGAGAATAGCAGCCCCAGCAACATGACGAACTGAGACCTGAAAGCGGCTTGCAGTAGACAAGAAAGTAGTAACACGTGGGCTCACAGAAAATTCCCCCCTACACAGCTTCTCAAAGGCCTGTACGCATGGTTTACTGTCAGTGAGCACACACGCCTTCTGTGATGACTGAGTAATATATGGACCAAAATGCTTCAGAGCAGCGGCTATAGCTAGGGCCTCAATCTCACACGGAAGCCAATTGATCTGATTTTTGCGAAGCTTAGCGCTAAAGTGTCCGGCGATCAACAACTTTTCCCCCCTCGTAACATACATTGTCGCGCCTAGCCCTGGATCCCTAAGAGCACCGTCGGTGACAATCCAAAGTTGATCATCAGGTCGTGGTATTGTTACAGCGCAACTAGTAGATAACGCCTGCTGAGCCCTATGAAAACACTGGAGGAGCTCATCTGACCACACAACCGCAGCGGTCGACTCACCACCAGCGACCATGTTGTCGAAGGGGGCAAGGATCGACGCACACCCCTACACCCGGGAATATCTGCTCTGTTGTAAATGTTTTTAATGTTTTATAATC